GCTGGTGGGTTGCCTCATGTACTTGATAACTTGCACTCGTCCAAATCTCGCATACCCTCTCAGCATCCTGGCTCGCTTTGTGGCCACAGGCAGACACCGACCACAGCACTGATCTGTCGCTAAGAGAGTTTTGCGTAATCTAACAAGTACATCGGGCATGGGGCTAGTGCTGGGCAACTTGAGGGCAGAGCAAAGCACATCCAATTGCGGCACTTTCTCCTGCGCGAGCTACTGGAGCGTCACCAGGCCCACGTAGTACACTTAGCCTCCGGTGCCAACACAGCTGATATCTTTACTAAGGCGCTTGCGACTAAAGATCATCAGCGTCACTGTTTGCAGCTTGGATTCGTTCTTGTGACTACTCCCTTGCTAGGACCTTGATTCTGTAGTCCTCTTTATACAATGGCGGAAAGTATTGTCCGCATGTTTGTCACTTGGACGAATTTTGGAATATTAAAGGGGTCATGCACATTAAGCCTTAATCTTTTGGTGTGCCCAATGTATGTAGGTTGGGGTAAGGCTATAGGCCCATGCCTTACATTTCACGAAGATACTGATGTTTACAGCAAATAGCACAAATTAACAATCATGGTACATCCGGACAATTTGTGCCAGGCGCAAGCAGCAAGTTTCAACCACCCCAAACTAGTACCTTGTCCACCGCCCTTTCACTTTAATCACCACCCTCTCCCTCCTGGGCATGCTTTCCACCAAGTGGGTGCACAAATCCGATGAGATCATCTCCCTTTCCTTCTGGACACGCTCCCACAGGTCCAGCATACCAGTGAGAGGCCTCTCGTGCTTGGCTAGCCACACATTGAGATGAGCCCAAAGATGCTCTATTGGGTTGAGGTCGGGTGAGGATGATGGCCACTCCACCACCCCAAACTCCTGCTCTCGAGGCCACTCATGCACGATACGCGACTTGTGCGTGGGGTCATTGTCGTGCTGGAAGATAACTTCCGAGGGTGCAAGTTGGTAAAACTCAATCGTACAATTAAGCTCGTCCTGCAGTATACTCAGAGAGAGTAGTCCGTCCATCGTACTATATATTTTGCTCATGAAACCCGCTCCCATATACGACATGCATTCGGAAATCATCAAGAAATCGCCCCCGTGATGACGGTCTGCTTGATTTGGTGTCTTTGGAGGGCAGTCCCTTCGTGCCCTTTGTGAACGCAGGCGTATGAGTCCGTCGGATGCAAAACGACCGATCTTGGTCTCATCCAACCAGATCACTCACTTCCAAGCGTCAACCGTCCAGTCCGTTTGGGCACGGGCCCATTCCAGCCTATCGCGTATGTTTTTCCGAGAGTGTCGCTGCTTTATGGGATGCTTGATTGCGACAAGTCCGTTGCCATTCAAAGCGTTACGCACAGTCTTAGGATGCAACGTGATGCCGTGCTGCTTCTCGACGATCATCGCAACGTAAGCGGAGATTTTTGCCTCCTAGGTGGTAATCGACCGAACTATGTCGGGCCGGACTCTATCTGTCACTAAGCGAGGCCGACCGGCTGAGGGCATCGTAGGACGCACGTCATCGCGGCAAGACTCTACAATCGCCTTGATGGACCGAACTCTTCCCTATGCCTAGCTGTTTAGCGATTCGACGAGTGCTATACCCCCTACGCAACAAGGTAATGATCCGTGCGTAGAGCGCCTCATCTAACGGTTTCATGATGGCCTAATCATAGCAGTGGTCCTAGCCTATCATCTGACTACTCCAAAGTCGCGAGGGCAAGAAAGTAGAATGAGGGAGGGTAGGATATAGATCTAGTACGCCGCTTGGCGTTAACTGTCCGGATGCACCTACGTGAACCAAGTCTCGTCCCCCTTAAAAAATCGACCCCTATAAATCTGAAACCCATACCCGTTACACACAATACAGAACAACTTTACAGCCAAGGCCGCAATATGAATCGTAACCATACAAAAATGGCACCAAAAAAGTACGTAAACCTTTTTCATGCAATTATCCGGACAATACTTTCCTCCAGTGTATATACCTTTCTGACTGGCCTTGTGGCTTCTCTTCCACTGGCCAAACTAGTATTGCCGCCCTGGTTTGCTCTTGTCTTGTTTGTATTCTTGCTGACTGGTCTTTTGACCCTTGCCTCAAAGGTTGGACTAGTAGTGTCAATCTGAGCTGCATGTTCCTTGCTCAGCACTGCCCCTTATCTAGCCTAAGGGGTGTGTCAACTTATATATATGTTTATATGTAGACGTTATAGGCTAGATATATTTGTGTTCTTAGAGGGTACAACTCCAATCCTATATCTCTCCTGTACTCACTTGTTGTAGTTTATTCTGTTCATCTAACCCACACACATACATATATATATATATATATATATATATATATATGTCGACACACCCCCTAGGCTTGGTAGGCGATATACAGAGAATACACCAGGGCAGTACTACTAGCCTGGCCACTGGTTTTAGTAGTAATGCAGGTCAAAAGAAAACACACAACGCATACATCGCACTAAGCCACATGCCCCCTAAGCCTAGCAACCCCATACTCAGCAGCAGCGACGGCTTCTCCAGCATGGTTAACCCCTCGGCGTGCGAGGCGGTGACGTCCGCAGCGAGGGCAGCGGCTGCAACGGCGGCGATGGCGGTAGCGATGACAGTGGCGGCTGCGGCGGCGTGCGGCGGCGAGGCCAGCGGCACCAGTTGCGGCGGCGTCGGGTTTGACGACAGCGGCGGCGGAGCTCGCAGCACTCGGCGGCGTGGCCTGAATCCGCGACGGTGGGAAGGCCCGCGCGAGTCAGCCGTCAGCTGCGGCGAGGAAGAGGGGACGCAGGGGAAGGGGGCGGGGCTTCAGCAGCGGAGCCAGGGAGTGTACCGCCCCGTGTGGCGCGCTGGCTGCATGCGGGCTTGCTGGCCAGCGCTAAGACTAGGCGTTGCCGCTGCCGTCCGTGCGCTGGCGCGTCGACGCCGCCACGGAAGCTCGACGACACCGTCACTGCAGCACGACATGGCCGTGGTGGCGGCGCGGAAAGGACAGGAGGGAGGAGCGAACGTTGCGAAAGCGTGATGAGCAAGCCAGAGCAGAAGGACCTGCCCTGAAACCATGTTAAACAACCTAGATAAGGAGAGGAGACATGGATATGGCGTGAGGGTTTAGGTGATAGGAGAAGGTTGACGAGAGAAAAGAGAGTTGGACTAGAAGAGAAAGTGATACAAGAAAGGGGTTGGGCCCTCTACTGTAGGATCCATGATATGCAGTACACCTACCTAGCCTATACACATACACACACACATATACATGTATATATATACATGCATATATTATATTGACACTCGCAATTCCATGCGGTGCGTCTCGGTTCGTCGCGATTCGCGAATCTGACGCAAGGTCGAGTATAACGCGAACTGTAGGAATTCGCCCTAAGGTTGATAACTAGGGGATATTGTATTTCATTGGTATCGAACAAGGGATATTATTATTGCTTGTTAAGATTGCCTTTTGTGCCCGTTGCATATTGTCTTTCAAATTCTAGGTTGGTACTAGTTTTTCAAGGCCATGTCTAGATACCAATGTTACTACACCCGTCCTGTCCTTACACCTGGAGTCGCAGCCTACAAAAGTAGCCTTCTGCTGTAACGAGAACATAACTGGGATATTGTGACAGCAGGCAGGGCGAGTGCGATTTTCCTGATGGGGTGCTACTGGCCTGAGCTAAGCAGAGGCACCAGTGACACCGCACCAATGAGAAATTCGAATTTTGCTGCAATCTTGTCTCGACCAATCCGGGAACGGGACAGACCATGTGCTCATCCGGCGGGAGAGAGGCTGCCGCCTAGCTATTAGGGGAACCTTCAAGTGGCACACAGTTTGAGTAGCCACTTTTCACGGGGTCACGGTGATTGGGTCAGCTACTGGACGCTGGACACAATGATTCTGTCCGTCTGGTGGCTACAGTGTCGCCTGGCGCCTTTCGCATTTTCTGCCCGAGTCGAAACGCACACGTCCAGCGACATCTGTGCGACGCTCGTGAACCTATAGGAACCTTTTCGAGTTTCCGCCAGACACTGGTTCGCGAACAGACCTGCACGGGAGGTGATGTGAATGTTCCAATTTGTGCGACATTTGATTTCCCACTCCGATCGTTGCGGAATACTTTATCTTGCCTGGGACTGGCTTGTATTCTGGCCCTACAAACCGAGCCGCCATCTCATCTTCTTGCGACAGTCGCTAGCCCGTACGCTCTGTTTCCGTTCGTTACGGCCTGGCAAGGAGAGTTTCATCTGACTGGCGCTGCGAGCCGGCGACAACTTTCGTCGTTCTTGTGCCAAAATGAGGTTCCCTACGACCTTTTTCATTCTGGCTCGGCGGGATGTGTGCGACCTGCCACTGGGAACGACCACTTCCCTAGCGTCTCGAGGCCTGTGTCCGACGAAATTGGCCCCCCAAAATTCCACCTAGCGGGCGACGATCTCGACGATCTTTGCTCGTTCGACTCGCGGTTTGGTCTAGGTACGGGCTGACCTGGCGTCGCGAAACAAATTGTAGATAACCGAGATCCGCGGTACGAAAATTTTGCTCGAGCTCCAAGGCGGGAGCATACCACACTCACCCGTCGGCTCTCAACTGTTAGACGAAACGAAACAAAACCATGTGCCTGGCTCGTTCGACTGCCCGCGAGATCCCGTCGCCTGCGTCTTTTCGCACAGCCCAGCCTCGCACAGTCGATTCCCGCACCTGAGCAGCACACCGCAAAATGAGCTCTGCTCGGAGGTCTCTGTGTCCTCCTGAGCGCCCCGTCGCCTGGTGCCCGACTCTGTGCGCCCCGTGCGCATGTGGCAGTCGCAGGATCTCCAGCCGAGCGCAGCAGCTCCCGCTGGCAGGCAGCGACCCCGGGAGGGAGCGAGGCAAGCAGAGGGATGCGGGCAGACATCCCGCGAATACAGCCATCCTGTGAATGCGCAGTCGAGCTGTCTGGCGAAAGGAGTACATAAAAGGCAGCATCCTTGCACATCAAACCCATCTTCAGTCCTTCGATCTCCTCTTCTTCCCGAGTCTGACCTTCGGTGTTTCCAACTCTCCAGCGTTTTCGCATTCCGTTGTCACTCGTGAACCGGTCTCCTTGGAACTCACGTCACTCGTACTAGACAGACGCCTCTCAACGATCCTCTCGATTTTTTCGCTCAGTAGCTACAGGTCGAACGTCACTCGGCTCCACGCTCAGCGCAGAACTCGAAACGACTTTACGATCCACGTTACTTGCTCCTTCTCTTCCTCTCGCCAGCTGACGCCTCAGAATCACCCATGGCTTCCTGCTGGCCCATTCCCGAGTGCGCAATGCAACTAGCTTCCACATCAACCCTCGGTCTCAACTGCCAAGCGGGGTTCGAACGGCCAGGAATTATCACAGTCCTGGCGTCGATCCTCGATAGAGTTGTGGCGGTCAGCGAGCAGGCGCCTCCCAGACTCTGCGGCAAGACGGGGCAGCAGCTGACGGTGTTTCACGGTCTCAGAGCGCCTGGGATAAGCATCGCCAAGTACCTGGACCGGATATTTAAGTACGCCAACTGCAGCCCGTCGTGCTTCGTGATCGCGTACATCTACATCGATCGCCTGATCAAGTCGCAGCCGGACATGGTCATCACTTCGCTGAACGTCCATCGCCTGCTTGCGACGAGTGTCATGATCGCCGCGAAGTTCCTTGACGACGAGTAAGTTACCACAAAATACCCTAAATTACCTCATTAAAACCCACAGAGGAAAGAGTTGCGTGCCGTTCATATGTACACAACTTGACGCCTCTCCTTCGCACTTGTATTTCCTCATTCCCCCCAATGGAACCGGATGCTAACTCTTTTCTCTCCTTCCCTGCTTTCTTTCTTCCTCTTTCAGATATTACAATAACGCGTACTACGCCAAAGTCGGTGGTGTTGCGACAAGCGAGATGAACAGATTAGAGCTGGAGTTTCTTTTCCGGATCAAGTTCCGGTTGAACGTGACGACGGAGGAGTTCATGGAGTACTGCAAGCTTCTAGAGAACGAGCTCTGGACGTTGTGTCAGGCTCCTCAGGAGATGCAATACGTGATGGCGACAATGGCGGCCCAGGAGGTTCAAATACAACAATACGCGTACGGCGATTATGTCAACGCGGCTGCGATGAATAAAGTGCTGACGTCGAGTGGGGATGCTGTTCAGACGCCCGAGCAAAGAGCGGAGCTGAGAAGATACGCCAGCCCTCAGGATATTTGCTTAGTGGCTGCGTCGTAGTGGTGGTAGGAATGCATTAGAGTTAAAATGGAGTGGAGACTCCAAGCCCCTATACGAATTCCATGTAACATAACACTTTTGACATATACTAGGACCATTTATTATTTCTCCATGCATTGGATAGAGTTTGCTCTAGCACGTGCGGATTTTTCATCACTTGCTCCTCTTCTCGTCATTCTTGTGCTACTTTGTTCTTTCGCCAGCGCCTTTGCAATCCTCGACGTGCGTCGTATCCATAACCTTACACCATTCACAGCAAACGAGTCGCTCAGGGCCAGGAACCATCAGTGATACTCGTTTAGGTCATTACTTGGTCAGCTGAGACGATGATCACCATCAGGCAGTTGGCCAAGCTCACCGCCCATCGTTCGACAAGCGGGAAGCATTTACCTCTTATTACAGGTACCGCCTCAGCCTCACGCTTCTTCCGATGTTTCGCGCTGATTTTCCGCCATGGTTTTCGATCAGCCATCAAAGTTTAGGGTTGAACAATTCTTTCCGCGATCAGCCCCGATCATGCACTTGGGCAACCTTTCAGGGGTTTATGCGCGCGGGACCTGGTCCGAGGGGAGGGGAGAGGAGGGAAGGGGGAGTGTAGATTTATCTGTGGGAGGAAGGGGGGGAAGTGGGGGGGAACGAGAAGCGGAGACTTGGGAAAGATGAGGGGAGATACTAGACTGGCGGAAAGGGAACACCCATGATTGGGGAAAAAATGGACTGGTGTTGCGCTGGCGCTACTGTGCTGATCGAAGGGCGTTTCGTGCGGATCGCCCGTTGTTCGCCAATCGTGGAAGTCGCTCAGGTGTCGCTTCGTCGCCGCCTCTCGCTCGCCCGAATTATCGGCGGCGCGAGCGATAAAAAGCGAAACCTGGCGGGCGCAGGCGGTGCTTTCTAGGGTTGATGTTTCCTTTCGCTTCGGAAATTCGGAATTCCTGGGCAGGTTCGAGGCCACTGTAGCAACGTGGTTCCAGTGGCTGAAGAGGGCCCGCCTGCTGTCTCCGTTGACATTTCGATGAGACCTGCCTTCTTTTTCATTGGCTGGCACCTGGGTAACTCTGTCAGCCGCACCCCTTTTCACGGGATTGCCAGCAAGCTGACGGAGTCCTAGGTTTTGGCGCAAAGCTCGTTTCCCTCCCTGCCGAGGATCCTGTGAGTGGGAGGGCACTGAGTACAACTGAGTACAAACGTGAAGTCAGTAATTCGAAATCGCATCAACTACACCATCATTTCATTACCTACAAATGTCCCATGTAGCCAAATGAAGGCAAACAATGTACTATCTACAATCAAATGAGATACTTCATGCATGAGGATTTATTATTCGAATCTCGGGTTGACAGGCCCAAATGCTGTCTTGGTTCAAACCTACGCACATTACAAAATACAGGTCTCCATAAGGGGAGCCAACACTACCACTACAACCCCTCCATAAACACTACCATACTATGTGATCACCTTCTCTAACAATGTGTGCTCCCTTCTTACGTGAAGGGTGGCCTTTCTTCTAGTAGAAATCCATCTTATAAGTGGTCACATTCATCGCAGAAACGTGGGTGGGAAAGTGTTGCTTGCCATGTTGGAGCCTCCATTACTAGTGCTTGACCCGTCATCCTCCCAGTCCACGACCAAAAGATTATTCTGCCCCATGCTACCCTCGACCACCTCCCTCCGTTGATCAAGCGTCCATCTACCATCCACAATGAACTTGACCTGACCCAAAAATATTTGGGAATAAAAAACGTAGGGCCAACAAGGGGAAAGGGGGAGGGTGCACTTGAGGGTTGGGGGGGAAGGGGGGGAGGGAGTGAGAGGAAAGATGGACGTTTACTAGATCTACATGAAAGGGTACCACTGGGTAAGTGGTAACTGGAGAGGGGTAGGCTGGGCAATTCTCAGTACCGTTCAGAACATCACTAGCACCGCATCGTACCACATGTTACCTGATAGTGGCCTGGGTAGAGCCAAAGTGTGCCCTCCCATATCATGGCACCCCTGAGGTACAGCAGGAGAGATAAAAACGCGGGCAGGAAGAAAAAAATATGTAAACTTGGTTCCAAGGATCCGCATACTCAGCTGCCCAGACATGGGAGTGCGTGTGGGGCAAACAATGAGCTCCTTCCCCTGGAGTAGTCTACGACAGAGGCGGGAAATATTTAACGGTTGTGTAGTTCGTTGCAGGATCATGCTGCCAAGTGCGCACGGAAAGGCATACCATGGCCGCCATACCTGCTCCCCCCATACCTGCTCCCCCCATACCTGCTCCCCCCATACCTGCTCCCCCCATACCTGCTCCCCCCATACCTGCCCCCCCCATACCTGCTCCCCGCATACCTGCTCCCCCCATACCTGCTCCCCCCATACCTGCTCCCCCCATACCTGCTCCCCCCATACCTGCTCCCCCCATACCTGCTCCCCCCATACCTGCTCCCCCCATACCTGCTCCCCCCATACCTGCTCCCCGCATACCTGCTCCCCGCATACCTGCTGCCACAAGCCACACCTGCTGCCACACCTGCTGCCACAAGTCACACCTGCTGCCACCAGCCACACCTGCTGCCGTCGTGGTTGGGGATGTGCGATGTCTCTTCCGGCACCATGTGCACGTGGCTGTCAGTGCCACCCGTTGAAGCCACAGACAGCCATTCACCCCCCTAGTTGCACGTCATACTATTGCCACCACACCTGCTGCCACCACACCTGCTGCCACCACACCTGCTGCCATCACGGTTAGGGATGTGCGACGCCTCATCGGGCACCAGGGGCACGTGGCTCTACCACACCTGTTGAAGCTGTGAGCAATCATCCCCCACTCAGTGCAACTAATACCTGCTGCCACCCCACCTGCTGCCACCCCACCTGCTGCCACCCTACCTGCTGCCACCCTACCTGCTGCCATCATGGTTGGGGATGTGAGACGTTTCGTCGGGCACCATGGGCACGTGGCTCTGCCAGCCGTTGAAGCTCCCCGCCAGCAGCACCTCGTGGCCCTCGCCCCAGTACTCAACCACCACCTGCCAGAGAGAGAGAGGGACATGGAGAGAGGGACATGGAGAGAGGGAGATAGAGAGAGGGAGATAGAGAGAGAGACATAGAGAGAGAGACATAGAGAGAGAGACATAGAGAGAGAGACATAGAGAGAGAGACATAGAGAGAGAGACATAGAGAGAGAGACATAGAGAGAGGGACATGGAAAGAGAGGGGGGGAGAGCAGAGGAATGGCAAGGGTTGAAGGGGGGCTACACCGAGGGACCTCTGAAGCTCCCCGCCAGCAGCCCCTCGTGGCCCTCGCCCCAATACTCCACCACCACCACCTGAGGGGCAAGAGGAAGGGGAACGGGGCGTGAGAGGAAGGGTAATGGGTTGAAGGGACTAGACCCAAGGAACCCCTCTAAGCTCCCTGCCAGGCTGCCAGCAGCACCTTGTGGCCCTCGCTCCAGTAGTCCACCACCACCAGAGGGGCAAGAGAAAGGGAGAGAGAGGGGGTACAAGGAATGTTGTGGTCCAAGGGGATAGACCCAGCGACTCCCCCTAAGCTATTCTTGAGGCGCCTCGAAAAAGAGGGGGGTACACACACACACAGCGACTGCCCCTAAGCTGCAGCCAAGGGCACCTTGTGGCCCTCGCCCCAGTACTCCGCCACCACCTGACCTGGCACGCCATGGGAGATGGAACCTCAGAGAATGGGGCTGTAGGGCGACTTTTGAGTCGACTCAAAAGTCAGCGGCACCGTGTTGAGGCTCTCGCACCAACACTCCACCACCACTTGGCCGGCCATGGGAGATGGAACAAGAGAGAATGTGGCTGTAGGGTGGCCACAACAAAGCCACTAAGCAAGAATCCCGATGACGGGGATGGTGGAGTTGGCAATAAACATCCATGACCACATATGCCAAGTACACCCTTTACTCGCTAATGTCAACAAGTGCCCTTCTCCAGTGCGCCTATGGCGACCAACCCACCATCGCATACCACCCAAGCACCAGTACACCTTTTCCTTATTATTACTATGACTTGAATCCCCCATGCCTGCTGGGCGGCCTCCAATCCAGCCTCACAAATCTCTCCAGCACAGCTACACCTGCTACTCGTTATGGTCAACAGTTACCTTAACTAGAGCCCCCATCGCTTGTTGAGTTGCCTCCAGCTTCACGTCCCTCTCCAGCACGAATACACCAGTCACTCGCTATTACCCCAACCTGCTACTCGTTATGATCACCTTCACTAGAGCCCCCATGGCCTGTTGAGCCGCCTCCAGCTTCAAGTCTCTCTCCAGCACAACTACACCCGTTTCCCATTATAATCACCTTAACTAAAGCGCCCATGGCCTGCTGAGCAGCTTCCAACTTCAAGTCTCTCTCCAGCACTGCTTGCCGTGCCAACGCCAGCTCGCTCTCTGCATTCGCCTTCATCACATGGAACTGGGCCTGAAGGGGCGATAAGGGGTGAAGAGGGGTAATGGTAGGTAGGTATGTGTATGCTGGCACGATAGTAACTCTCAGCATCAGCGCCAGTTTGCTCTTAGCCTCCTCCATCTCTCGCATTATCACTGACAGCTCTTCCCCTTATCTCCCTTTCCTATCGCTCTATCCACACCCATTCCCACACCCCCACACCCATTCCCACACCCCCACACCCATTCCCACACCCATTCCCACATCCCCACACCCATTCCCACACCCATTCCCACACCCAGTTTCCCAGCCACACACCCAGTCCCACACCCATACACCCATTTCCACACCGATACACCCATTTCCACACCGATACACCCGTTTCCACACCGATACACCCATTTCCACACCGATACACCCGTTTCCACACCGATACACCCATTTCCACACCGATACACCCATTTCCACACCGATACACCCATTTCCACACCGATACACCCATTTCCACACCGATACACCCATTTCCACACCGATACACTGTCGCACACACTCCTTCTCCCGGGCTCACCTCCCCTTCTGCCCTCCGAGTGCTAGCTACCCTGGATCCTTCACCTTCTGCCCTTGTCGCCTTTTGTATGTCACTACCTCTTGAGGCACCTTCTCCTGCCCCCTCGCGGCCGGACCAGTGTCCTCGCGGTCGGGCCACGATCGCCCTGCTTTAGCCACGTTCGAGATGTGGTCCTCCACTGTCTTCCCTTGTCGATTCTGCAGCAACAGCACCCCTGACTCCTTCTGCGCCTTTACCATCCACCGCTGCCTGCTCAAGCCATAATCGAGCGTACTCCGCCGCGGTTCCCGCAAATACACTTCGTCTCCAATCTGCAGGGCCTCCCGGTGTCCGCCAGTGACAGCCTCTCCTTGCTTGCGCTGTCTGTACCTCCGTGCGTCTCGCATCTGCGCCACTTCTAAGTTCTCCATTGCGGCTGGCAGCGCGGTGCGGAGATAGCTTGCGCGAACGGCTGCTACCGCTGCCCAGGTCCGCGGGTCCTCGGTCTTCACTGAATCGGTCATGATGCGTGGTGCGTCCACTGGCAATATGGGCTCCCGTCCGTACAGGAGATAGTACGGCGAGTAGTCCCTGAGTGCCTGCTGCTTACTAAACCGGTAGCCCGCCGCTACCCAGGGCAGATGACGATCCCAGTCCCGGCGGTCTTCCTCCTCGCAGTATTTCCGAAGTCCTTGCTTAAGGGTTTGCACCATCCTCTCTGTCAGCCCATCCGCTGTGGGTGGTATCTTGACGTCCTTCGGTGAGTGATGCCTGCTGCCCCTAGTAACACATCGAATTCTCCTGCGAACTCACTGCCCTGATCGGTTAACACCTCCCCACATGCCCCGAACCTGGTCAGCACCTGTTGCTCGAATGCTTCTGCCACTCCGGCTGCCGTCTTGCGCGCCAGCGCCGTCACCTCGATCCACTTGCTGGTGTGTTCTATCATCACTAGGACGTACTGCTTTCCTCTCCTGGATAGCGGCAGCTCCCCTGCAATATCTAGCGACCACCTGAAGCCTATCGCACCGATGGGTAAGGACTGTAGTTCGGCCTTGGTCTTCTCCAGTTTCGCCTTACTCCTCCTGCAAGGTTCACACCGCTCCACCACTGCTCTTACTCCTTGTCTCATCCCTATCCACCAGTACATCGTCTGCAGTAGCTGAAGAGTTCGCTCCGTGGCGTAATGTCCCAGCCGAGTATGTATCTTATGAATAAGTGCTTCTCGCTCCTCTGGCCTTGGTACAATCCTCCACCCATCCTCCGTTACCAACTGCAGCTGGTCTGCCTGCCAACGGTAATGTATTCCCCTCGCTCTCACCCTTTCAGGCACTTCCTCCCCGTCGGGCCCCTTGCCCTGGACCCAATGCAGCACCGGTGTATCCTCCCAGACCTCCTTGCTTCCCTTCTCTTTTTCTGCCCTCCGGCTCCAGCCTTCTTTCTCCACTGACACGGCTAGGCAGGTGAGACTGGTCTCAACTCCAACGACTGACTCTCCCCCTCCGGGACCTTGCCTAGACAGTCCGTCCACATGCTGTAAAGTTTTTCCTGGTTGATGCTTCACCTCGAACTCGAATTCTTGCAGCCGCATTGCCCATCTTGCGTTGCGGCCTCTCAGCGTTTGATTGGTCATCAACCATAAGAGAGGTTGATGATCCGTCACCAGAGTGAATAACCGGCCCTGCAGGTATGAACGGAAGAGCTCCACGGCCCATACGGCTGCTAGTCCTTCTCCCTCGTACGAGCTATAGTTGCTCTCCGCGGGGCTGCATGAACGGCTAGCGTAGGCCACTACTCGCTCTACCCCTCTTTCCTCCTGACACAGTACTGCCCCCATCCCGCTGCTGCTCCAGTCAGTGTATAGCACGAAAGGCTCTTTCGGGTTGGGCAATTTCAACATGGGGGCTGTCTTAACTGCCTTCTTCAGTGTCTGCCATGCAGCTTCCTGTTCCTCTCCCCACGTCCACTGCACATCCTCTCTGAGTAGCCAGTTTAAGGGCTTTGCTGTCTTGCTGAAGTTCGGCACAAATCTTCTGTAGTAGCTCAGGAAGCCCAGCTGTGCCCGAAGCGAACTTCTGTCTGTTGGCGCCTGCAGCCTGTCCACCACCTCCACCTTTGCCTGCTGCACCGACAGTCCCCCTTCTCCCACTTGGAATCCCAGGTAGGCCACCGTTTTAACGCCGAAGTGACACTTTCCTGGGTGACAGGTGAGTCCAGCCTCTTGTATGGCTGCTAGAGTGGCCGCCACGTCTTGCACATGCTGCTGTCCATCTTTGCTGAACACCACTATGTCGTCGATGTAGCATACGCCTCTAGGAACTCCCTGCAGCACCTGATCCATCACGCGCTGAAACTTCGCCGAGGCATTCTTGAGTCCGAATGCCATGTAGTTCCATTCGTACAGCCGATCCGGCCCATGGAAGGCTGTCTTCGGCTTGTCTTCCTCCTTGATAGGGATTTGATTGAAACCTTGTCTCAGATCTAGCGTCGAATATACGGTTCCCTCAGCCAGTTTGTCGAAGATCTCTTCAGCCATCGGCATGGGGTACCGATCGCTCTTAGTGATCCTATTCAGCCCCCGGTAGTCACCACACATACGTCTTGCCAGCGTTTCTCCGGTCAAATCCTTCCTTGCCGCTATCACCGTAGCAGCTGCATACTCTGAGGTTGACTCTCGTATGAGCCCAGCTGCCAGTAGTTCGGCACATTTTGCCTATGCAATGTCCCGGTCCCCAGGGCTCATACGCCGCCTCCTTTGGTACACCGGCTCGGCACTCTGCAATTCTATCTCCATAACCGATTTTCTGCACTTGCCTAATTCAGCCAGTGAATAGGCGAATGCCCCCCTCGCTTTCTCCAGCACCTCCCTGAGCTGCTCCTTCTCTTCCTCATTGAGCCCTTCTCCCATCTCCCAAGCTGCCGGCATGTCCACAGGGGATGGCACATCTCCTTCTCCCTTCTTCCCTTCCTGCAGCTGCTCGCTAGCCTCCTCTTCCTGTCTGGCCCGGGCCAACAGGGCTATGCCTCTCTGACTTAATTCTTCTTCCTCCATGCGCCTTTCTTCCCCGGCCTCTACCTTCATTCTCTGCCATGCTTCCGCCACGTCTAGGGCTCGCACTGGGTCCTCCTCCCGCATCTCTTCAATGTTCCGCCACATCCAAAGCATCAGCAGCTGCCACCTCAGCACCTCCTGCCGCTTCTCAGCCCTGTACATTAGCCACACCAGGGCATGCTGGCCTATGGCTCCCCCCAGGGCTCTCCTCCTGGCCTCCTCTGACACTCCCTCAGCGGCTGTGGCGTTCCTTATATATCCCAGTGCCCTCTCTCTCTCCACCGCCAACGGCTCCTCCCACCTCCCTGTCGCCAACACCTGTACCATTCCTGGTCCAGGCTCACTCCCTTCCATTCGAAAAGCGTAGCTAGCTGGGGTCGCTACCAACGTTGGCCAAGCTTGCCTCGGTGCCCCCACCTGATTGCATGGGAGTTGCGACTTCACGTCTGGCGTAACGACTGGTGCGGCTCTTCGGCCCGGCTCCAAGATATCTTGCACCAGCCTGGGCAGCGGTCTCTGCATCCTTCCCAGCTGGTCTCTTAGCACCGGCTCCGGTATCAGATTCTGCCAATATCGCCTCACCCGATGCGTCCTGGATCCCATCTGCGCTGCGTCCCACGCCACCCCATATCCTAGCTCCCCTGTCACTGCTTTGTGTGCTTCACGCACTAAGCTTCTCTCGTCCTCGGCCACGTCCAGGTTTTCCACGATATACGCCACCCGGCCCCTGCCTTCTCTTAATCAGCTTCATGACCCTTATCAGCTCCTGGAACAGCCCGGTCCGAGCATCTGTCAGTCCTCCGCCCCTTCCGGCCCTGGAGAGTCCCTGACACTCCCAGCCCGCCACTAGTAGGTCAATCTGTCCCCATTCCTCTACGGTCTGCGGGTTGATACTTTGGACGTCATACACCTCTCGTGCCGCCGCCTCCGCCTCTTCCACCACCGCCATCGGTAACTTGTCTGGGAACAGCTCATGCAGCACGCGTGCATGGTGGAAGGCCATGAGGCGCACCTCCTCGCTTTTCTCCACGTAAATCCATTTCTTGATCGTTTGCCCCATCCTCACACAAGCGGCAAGCCCGGGACCGATGCCCCCAAACATCTCCAGCAGCGTAATCGGCCGATTGAATGTCTCGAAGTCGTACGTGGGCTCAGTTAGCCCGCGCGCTTCTCTGTACTCGGCCAGATTGGGACCCGCTGCCGCTTCCCACCTTTTACGTTCACTGGTGCGCTCCAGGTACACCCCTGCGTCCTCGAATCTCAGTTCGGGCACTTTGTCGGCTGGCGGAGCCCTGTACTCGGGTTGGCTCCTCAGGAAGCGAGCCGGCAGCGTGGCTGCAGTACTCACCTCCCTACGTATCTCGTGGTCCCAATACCGTGGCTGGTACGTCACCCTCTCCGTCCAGGTGTCCACCACTGCTCCCACCTTGTACAGAAGTTCCATCCCCAGCAACAGGTCGTAGTCATCCGAATCCGACACTAGGCAGTGCACTCGGATCCTAGCCTCGTCCTCAGTTCCTCGTTGACCGGAGGCTCCCCCCCTCTCGGCGACGAGTCGTCTCCCTTGGGTAACCGCACGCCACTACGAAGCGACATGCCCGCCATGACTTTGTTTGTATGAAGGGATCCCGAGGTCCCGTCTCAACCACCTCGTCTACTTAGCTCTCCTTTATTTATCCTCTCATGGTGGATCTGACTTTTGCCCGAGAAAGCCTCCACTAACAACAAGGCATACAAGTCTTCCCACGGTGTCCGAGAGAACAAACAAAGTAACGAAGCGATAGCTCGATCTTGGTTTTGTTCTCCCTCACTAGAGGATGCCTCCTGGGCCAAACCCTTCCCTCCCAAATGCTCTAGCCGCAAGCCGTTTCGGGATTTTCTCCCCCATGATGGCCCCCGGTAATTGTGCCATCCCTGCACCAATCCCCTCTCTGCATGCCCGCGCTCCGTGTCGCGCGCACCCCTGCTGACCTGGATGACGTCAGCTATCCTCCCTTTCCAACTGTCGACCTCCGCGCCAACCGCCTATCCTGAAATTCGGTACTGTACAACCAACTCCCAGATTCGCATAACCCTATCTACACGAACGATTACACTCTATTCTTACACCCAAACTACAGTGCTGTCCCATGCATTCTTGGTATTTTTATGCTACCAAGAATCATGCGACAACACCCATTTCCACACCGATACACCCATTTCCACACCGATACACCCATTTCCACACCGATACACCCATTTCCACACCGATACACCCATTTCCACACCGATACACCCATTTCCACACCGATACACCCATTTCCACACCGATACACCCATGTCTACACCGATACACCCATTTCCACACCGATACACCCATGTCTACACCGATACACCTGCCCACCTTAGCCTCCTCGATCTCTCGCACTGTCACTGAGAGCTCCTATCCTTCTCTCCCTGTCCTCTCGATCGAACCACCCACCCACTTATCCAAGCACCAGCCCACACACCCACCCACATCCCCCCTCACACTCCTACCTTTCCCCCTTCCATCTCTCTCATGATCGCTGACAGCTCCTCCCCATCTCTCCATGTCCTCTCGCCCCATTCCCCACCCACACACCCCTTTCCACACCCAGACGCCTTCCCACCTTTGCCTCTTCCATCTCTTATGATCACTGACAGCTCCTCCTCCTCGTCTCCCTGTTCTCTCGCTCCTTTCACCCACCAACTTACACACACACACACCCAGCCCAAGCACCCAAGCACCCACACACACACCACCCACCTTTGCCTCCTCCATCTCTCTCATTATCACTGACAGCTCCTCCTCCCGTGACGCCTGGAGGGAAAGGTGAGGGGTGGCAGGAGGGAGAGGAGAAGAGGAGCAAAGGAGGGGGGAGAGGAGCAAGAAGACAGGGGCAGTTAGCGGAGTGGGGAGTGTGAGAGGGAGAGAGAACGGGCAGGGGAAGTAACGAGCACAGTCTTATCAGACAGAAGGCAAGGGAGAAAAAAACAGGAGAGATTCGATTCTCTCAAGCTTACCAGCAGCGACTTGATTCTCTAGAGCTCACCAGCAGCGACTTGATTCTCTAGAGCTCACCAGCAGCGACTTGATTCTCTCTAGCTCCAATTCGGCTTCTTCTGAAAAGAGAGTCGCCTGGAAGTGGATGGATGGACGAGGAGCGACGAAAAGGATGAAAGCAAAAGAGAGGGGTGGATGAGGGATGGATGAGGGATGGACAGAAGAAGGCGAGGGGCAGGGCTGAATGAATGAATGAATGAGGGGAGAACAGAACGAACAGGAGAGCAAGGGAGGATGTGACAGGAGACTTTGAGTCAACTCAACAGACATCTCGTGACGGAAAGAAGGAGGAAGATTCTTGCAACAGAAGGTCTCTACCAAGTGAGTAGAACCCACCTGCTCCTCACCTGACTGCCCGCTTGTCTCTTCACATCAACCATGTGGCGGATAGGCTATGTTGTACTAACGGACGTATTTTGAGTCGACTCAAAATACATCTCCACATCAACCATGTAGCCTCAGCCACGGCCTGTTTTGGGGCACCTCAGAATCCGCGTGATAGAAGTCTAGTTTTGAGGCGCCTCATTAGAAGACATCCACAACTCACCCCCAACGGCTCCTCACCTGGCTGGCCGCCAGTCTCTCTGCCTCAGCCACAGCCTCTGCTTCCCACGCCTCCATGCCACCCGTCCAGTCCACCTCAGTCCCACTCCCACTGCTCATGCCGCTACGTTGGCTGCTGTTGGTGGCGGTATTGGTTAACGGTTGAACCGCGGTGGAATAGAGAGAGGAATACGGAGTAGCAGAACCAGGCTGGGGAGGGGCGGCTGCTCTCTCCCATGCATATGCGGCTTCGTCAGCTGATCCATAAGAAGTGCTGTAGGGAAGCTTGGAGGAGGCTTCGTAGGGAGTACGGGCGGGAGAGGAAGGTGGAAGAGTGCTGTAAGCCGCAGAGGAAGACGCTTGTAGCGCATCATCACTATACTGCAGACCCTTGTATTGAGGACGGGCGTTGTCCGGAGTACCATCATACTCTCTGTTCCTCCTGTAAGTATCTCCTTCACTCCCTTCCTCCACCTCCTCCCACCCCCCCTCCTCTAACTCCTCTGCCTCCTCCGCCTCCTCCGCCTCCTCCTTCGACGCCTTTACCTCCTCTTCCCCCTCCTCTGTCTCACTCTCCGATTCGCTCATCGAGTCGAGCTTGCTCAAATCCAGATTCAGGCTCGGAAACAGCCAGGCAACCTCCGGTGCGATATAGTCACCTTCGTTACTGTCACTACTGTCATTGTCACTATCACCTCTAGTGACTTGGGTGCTTGAAAGGGAAGGAGGAGTGGGCCGGGGAGAGGAGGAGGGGGAGGAGGAAAAGAATGGAGAGGAAGAAGGGTTGAAGGATGGGGGGGAGAACGGAGGGGAGGAGGTGGAAGGAGAGGAAGTTGTGGGACCCGTTTCACTGTTGCTGGACTGTGGTTGTAGCGGGGAGGCTTCAGACGAGGACAGAAGGCCCCTGGAGAAAGAGGTGAGGGAGGAGGAAGGGGAAAGGGGGAAGGGGGAAGGGGGAGGGGGAAGGGGGAAGGGGGGGGGAAGGGGGAAGGCATGTGGAAGAGGGGAGGGAGGTGAAGGAATGTGCTTGAGGGAGGGGAGGGAGGTGGAGGAATGTGCTTGAGGGAGGGGAGGGAGGTGGAGGAATGTGCTTGAGGGAGGGGAGGGAGGTGGAGGAATGTGCTTGAGGGAGGGGAGGGAGGTGGAGGAATGTGCTTGAGGGAGGGGAGGGAGGTGGAGGAATGTGCTTGAGGGAGGGGAGGGAGGTGGAGGAATGTGCTTGAGGGAGGGGAGGGAGGTGGAGGAATGTGCTTGAGGGAGGGGAGGGAGGTGGAGGAATGTGCTTGAGGGAGGGGAGGGAGGTGGAGGAATGTGCTTGATGGAGGGGAGGGAGGTGGAGGAATGTGCTTGAGGGAGGGGAGGGAGGTGGAGGAGAGGGAAGGCCGTCAAGCAGGCCAGCAGGATCCACTTGTGCAAGTAAACACCAGCCTATCTCTCTTATTCACCCGACCCTCCACCCCTAGTGAACCACCCTACCCATTCAGACAGACGAACCTCCATCAAAAACCCTCCTCAGAAGCACCTTCCCCAAAAGCACCTCCCTCAGAAGCACCTCCATCACGAGCACACCCACCTCTGCTGCATCCTCTGCTGGAGCACCTTCGCCTTCTGCTGTGCCACGGACATTGCCGAACCTGGCGCCGAGCCTAACGACCCTGACCCCGAGCCTAGCGACCAGCTCTCCACCCTCGCGTCTTCCTCCTCCCCCCCTGCCCGCGCTTCTTGCCCATCCGCCTTCCCTGCTTCCTCCCCCTCATCCCCCACCAGCTGCAGCAGCTGGCGCACCCGCCGGTACCCCCTGGTGCGCATTGCCCCCGCCAGGAAGGGGCTGAGGGGGAGAAGTGTGGGGGGGGGGGAGGGGGGGGGGGGGAGGGGAAGGGAAGGGAGGGATGGCAGAAGAGGGGGGGGAGGGAGGGGGGGGGGAGGGGAGGGACATGTGGTCAGCGCACGCGTCTGTACCCCCTAGTGGGGGTCGAGGAGTTAGTTGGGCCAAGGGGTGCCCGGGAGGAGGCGTGTAGTGTAGTTCGCGTAATTGGCCGAGTGCAGAGATATGCGTGAATTGCCAAGCTTCTAAAAAAAACCGTTTCGCAACAGGGAAAGGAATGCAGACTGCCTGTGCGGCTAGCTAGCAGCGAAGTGCGAGAAACACGGAAGTAGGTGAGGGAATATGGGAGTGAAAAAGGCGTCGAACAAAATCCACGGAAAACCGCTCAAAAGCACATGACTGTTCCCGCCGCCTGCTCCCCCCCCCACACCCTTCCCCCTCCCCTCCCTCCCCCCCCCGAACCCTCCGTCTGCCACGTCAAGAGCCTTCCTCATTCCATTACCACCGCAAGCTGCGACGTACCCGCCAAGCAAGCTGCGACGTACCCGCCAAGCAAGCTGCGACGTACCCGCCAAGCAAGCTGCGACGTACCCGCCAAGCAAGCTGCGACGTACCCGCCAAGCAAGCTGCGCCGTACCCGCCAAGCAAGCTGCGCCGTACCCGCCAAGCAAGCTGCGACGTACCCGCCAAGCACGGCGACTTCTTTGATCGACGGGAGACTGTCTTCAGAGAGCTCGTTCGCTGCAAGCACCACCCGCAATTGCCGCACAAATGCCACGTCGGACTCGCTCGCGCGACCCGCTGAACTCCCCGAACCGTCGTACGCAGCCGCCGCCGCCGCCACCGTCGCCCTCGCTGGCGGCGCGATAACGAATTTTGTACGCGATACAAGGTGCTTCGGAACGCGACATCTACGTTGAACTGATGCCTGAGTTTTGTACGCGAAACAAGGGGCTCCGATGGCGAGAGGCGGCTGGTACAGCTTGAAGGTAGCGAGATGCGCTGTTGGAGAAAACGGTACAACCGCTGCCACCTGCATGGCTTCGACTGTCATTCTCTTTTTCTATTTTGAGCTTTATGCTCTATCGCGATCCGAATGAAGTACGAGAAGGAGAAATCAAGCGAGAGAGGTTTCTGCGAGATGTTGGAAACTGGTGACAAGGAGGAAAGGAGTTAATTTCTCTCAGCGTCTACTAAATAAAAGTCGGCTATGAAAAGCGAAAACTGGTCCGACGATTGTGAGTGGCGGGCAGACAATCACGATAAGGGCTGCTATTATTATGAAGCAGAATCAGGACTCTGCGGCAGACGCGGCGAGAGCTCGCATCGCGCGAGCTCCCAGGATTTTAGCCCTTACTGCTGGTACAGCAGGGGAGGGGACATGTGTGGTGTGGTGGCGGGAAATGGAGAGATCACGCGACGTGGCCAGGTGCATGCATTCCACCTTGGGAACTTCGAGCTGGTCAATGAAAGGAACAAATTGTGAAAGCTTGCTTAGGGCTTATTTCTACGAAGTTGCATCAGAACTGTAATGGCTTTTGCTGATGCTGATGTTCCTTCAAACGCGCAACCTGCAGATCAGCTTGGTCGATCGTCGATCGTCGATCGTCTATTTCATCCACACGGATGGCATCTGACACACGGCTATGACTCTCGCGAGGGTGACTATCGAGTGGAGCAATCAGAACAAGTTGCGCGAAAATTTCGCGCGTCGACTCCTTGCTGGTTCGTGGCGTTGTATTTCACGAAGTGGCATCAGCATCAACAAAACTCGATTATAGTCCTGATGCTACTTCGTAGGAATACACCGTCAGGCCATCTTGCGAAGGCAGCGTGCTTCATTCCAGATGGGTAGTTACATACTTCTCGTACATTACATGCAAACATGGGATACTACAACTGTTATGAATTATAACTCAGGAGTATAGCGCAGAATACTATAAGGGAACGTGATTACAAAATGACGATAGAAATGAGGCCTAGGGCATATATAGTGTGCGTTGACCAGGTTTGAATGTCGAGGGTTGGAGCAGTCAAGGGTTCGGTAGTCTCGAGGGTGACGGGGTCAAAATGGGTTCGCGGCGAGTCGGGATGAGGTTGGGGACCGTCAAGGTCGGCGGGGGCTGGTTTGGCGCGTAACTGGAGGGCCGAGCCTGCGGACGCGATCGGTTCGCTTGTAATCGCTGTGGCGAGCCCCAGTAAGGAATGGTAATTCCTTACGACAACTTACTAGGGTGGGGGGTGGGAGAAATCAAACTACAAACTAGAAATGAAGAACGTGGGTGAGGCCAAATGGCCCCACGTCCCTCGTTTATATGCAAAAAATGATGAGTAGCGCTTCGTTGCTACCTTTGCTGTGTTGGCCACGTCTTCACTTTCAAAATACACAATTTTGTAAAGTGTGAAACACCTTTAACTTTTATCATATTGTGAAAGCTTGCTTAGGCCACCTTGCAAAGGCAGCGTGCTTCATTCCAGATGGGCCTGCTGAGGCATGTGCATGCGGGGTCGACGGTGTTGCTCGATGGATTGCTGGTGCCCGGCAGGCGATGGGGCCGCCGTAGGGTCCTGAAGCTGGGTGGAGACCGCGAGGAGTTGGTCTTGTGCAATCGTGACATAGAGGTCCTTCGCAGTATTGCTATGCCAACGGCCTATGCGTTTGAAGAGCCGATCGGGAACACCGAGCGCGGCTGCGGCGGTGGTGGGAACTTTGCGGAAGGAGTGAGGGCCGAGGTGGATGGCTTCGAGGCCTGCTGCAGTGAAGGCCTCGAGGCACCAGATGCGGATAATGGTGTACGAGGGTGAGCTGTCTTAGGGCGTCGGTTTGGCGCCTCTGCCAAAGACTCGAATAAGCGGCCCGTCGGGCAATTCGGTGAAGCCGGCGAGGTCGATAAAGCATCGGGTACACCAGACGGGACAGAAGGGTCCTCGTGTAGATGCGACCGGCATCCACGTCCCCTTCCCTTCTTGATCTGTCTTTGAGTACGAGATGAGGAGCCACATGGCTTCATCCTCGAACTGGATGTCATTCCATTGGAGAGCGAGCAGGTCCGAAAAACGGAGAAATGTCACGAACATGAGAAGCGGAATGAGGCCTTTCTGGTATTCGGCAGGGCTTGCTGACTCGAGAAATGGGCAAGCCTCATTGTGCACCTGGTGAAGCGACAAGGGTTCCTTTGTTCGGGCGGGGCGGGGCCCATGCCGTTTGGCGAACTCCCAGACTTGCAAGGTGAAGGGACCACCCATGCGTGAAGGTTCCCTAGTCATGCGATGGGCGAAGGCCACAACCGAACAGGTGAGGGTGATCGCCGAGATGGTGGCATGGTGATAGAGCGCATTGATAAGACAGAGGGCGAGCATCATGTCCGACGCAGGCAGGAAGTCCAACTTCACTGCGGTGCAGAATGAGCAAAATTTCAGCCAGTATGGTTCGTATGCCTGGATTGTGGAAGGAACGCGGACGTTGGTGATGACTTGCAATAATTGCTGCTGGAGCTTGGGCAATATGCTTGAAAACATCCATGTCATTTTGTTAATTACATATCATATTTGATTTGCAATGCAACAATAGGGCTATGGGGCAATCCTAGGCCTGAGAATGCTGCCGCGTGGGTGCCTCGGCGAAGGTGCTGGTTTCCTTTGGTGAGGGAAAGGTGTGCCACAACTTCCGGGGCCCACGTCTGAGGGGCTGGTTGAAGTAGGGGCCACCAGGATGCCCCAGGCCACTCGGGAGCGATAAGCGTCAGGGTACTTGGCGCTCGCTGTGCATGACGGAGAGTGGCAAGGATCAGGTTGGGGGGTGGGAAGGCGAAGCCTCTTTCGCTTGTCCAGGAAATGGAGAACGTATCGATCGCAGTTGCGCGGGGATGCGGTATTCTAGCACAAAATCGTGGCAGCTGGCTGTGGTGCAAGTTCGCGAACAGGTCAATTGAATGCGTGCCCCAACGACGTTCCAACATGCAAAACCACTGTGCGTGGAGCGAGTAATCATCATGGTCCTGCAGCTTCGAGAGTTCGTCGGCGGGCGCGTTGAGCTCCCACGGAATCCGCTCGATCACGAATCACGTGGACTTTTCGATGCAGAGGCTGATTATTGCTTGGCAGATCAACGTGAGTCTCGGCTAGCGAGAGCCGCCCTTGCAGAGGATGAAGTCATCTTCTTGGTTGTCAACACGAACGTGCACGTGGCTACGAACCAGCTGACTCGCAAAGGTGCGGAGCGCCCAATGAACTCCTTTGAGCTCACTGTGTGCGCTAGAGGTTTGGAGGAGGGTGTCCGGCATTCTGCTATTTGCCTCGGATGGGGTTCCCAGAAACCGCGTGAGAGTAGCACCCTAGCTGTGTGCGCTTGCGTCAAAGTGGATAAGTGCATCGAACTGGTGGCGTATATGGAATGAGGCGCCATTGAATCGGTCAAAGTGGGTTTTCCAGAAGGTCAATTCTTCGATTGCATCTGGTGGCAGGCAGACCTTGGCGTTGCATAACGTGGCTTCCGCGACCAGGTGTAGTAGTTCATGAAAAAAGGCCCGCGACGTCGTGCCGAGCGTGAGGGCCATGGAGGCCAGCATGCCGTAACTCGGGCAACCAGCCGGATGGGTACTGGTTGCGTCGTTTCTCCCTTAGCGATGAGCGCCCGAAGTGTGTGCAGGCGTTGTATACGTCGTTCGGCTTCGACCAGAAACAAGCCGCAGGTGGTGTCGAGCTCGAGGCCCAGGAAGCGGATCTGGTGGGATGGTTGCAGGTGTGATGACAAATCCGACTGCCTTGAGGTCTTGGAGGATTTCCGTGCAGATCAAGCACGCTTGCTCCCGAGATTCACACATGAACAGAAGGTTGTCTACGTATGGGATGACACGTACGCCGCGAGCCCTCCATCATTTGGCCAATTGCTTGATAAGCTGGGTGAAAACGAAGGGTGTCGTTGCCAAACCAAATGACAGAGACCTGAAGCAATAATATACCCCATTGAACTGGAATCCTAGGAACCTCCAGCAGGAGGAATGCATCTCAACGTGGTGGTAGCCAAACTTTAGGTCAATGGTGAGAAGCCAATCATTGGGTCGGATGAGCTCTGTGACCCCGCTTAGGCCTTCGTACTTGAACTTGGGAATGTGCAAGTGGGCATTGACCTTGCGAAGTCGAGGATGAGGCAATATTTGTCATGCTTCTTGACCAAAATCACTGGGCTGATGCATATGATTGCGGCTTTTGACAAGACCTTCATGGCAGCATCGGTACATAGGAGGTCTTGAATGGCATCTCGGGTGAATGTGGTGTGCGAGCGGATGCCCGCATGGTTAGCATCCTCGAATGGGATGGGTGCCGCATTCTTCCATGAAAGCCAATATCCCTTGGCAATGATGGAGATGATGAAGCTGCCGTCGCATCATGAGCACCACCAATGGAGTTCGTGCCGTAAGTGGCTGCGCACGACGGTTACCGATTTGTTGGTAACGGCATACTCGTATGGGTCCCACTCGTTGTCGAAAGGTTCGGCGCCAAGGGCTGCAAGTATAGGCAACCAGGAAAGTGGAGAAGGTATGGATGGTTGGCCAATAGACTGAGCATGCGAGGTGTCGGGTGAGTCGTGTGTTTCCAATGCCTTTTTCTGACACGTGTACAAAGAATGCACTCCCTCGTACCCCTTTCTCTCTCACTTTCTCTCTCTCTCTCTCTCTCTCTCTCTCTCTCTCTCTCTCTCTCTCTCTCTCTCTCTCTCTCTCTCTTTCTTGCTCTCTCTCTCTCTCTCTATCTCTCTCTCTCTCTCTCTCTCTCTCTCTCTCTCTCTCTCTCTCTCTCTCTCTCTCTCTCTCTCTCTCTCTCTCTCTCTCTCTCTCTCTCTCTTTCTTGCTCTCTCTCTCTCTCTCTCTCTCTCTCTCTCTCTCTCTCTCTCTCTCACTCTCTCTCTCTCTCTCTCTCTCTCTCTCTCTCTCTCTCGTTTTTTGTTTGTGTTTTTTTTTTCTTCTTTCTTTACTTGGGCGCCCATGCATTTGCCGTTCATTATTACAAGGGCCAACACCCCTTTGTCTCATGCTCTTGTTTGTGTGCTGCACAAAATCCTCTCTAACTCTCACTTTCCCTCTCCCTCTCTTTCTCTCTCTCTCTCTCTCTCTCTCTCTCTCTCTCTCTCTCTCTCTCTCTCTCTCTCCCTCTCTCTCTATCGCTCTCTCTCTCTCTCTCTCTCTCTCTCTCTCTCTCTCTCTCTCTCTCTCTCTCTCTCTCTCTCTCTCTCTCTCTACCTCTCTTGCTCTCTCTCCATATACCTCTCTTTCTACCTCCTTTGTGATCTCTGTTTCTCTTTGTCTCTCTCTCTCTCTCTCTCTCTCTCTCTCACTCTCTCTCTCTCTCTCTCTCTCTCTCTCTCTCTCTCTCTCTCTCTCTCTCTCTCTCTCTCTCTCTCTCTCTTTCTCTCTCTACCTCCCTTGCTCTCTCTCTATATACCTCATTTTCTACCTCTTTCTTGATCTATGTTTCTCTCTCTCTCTCTCTCTCTCTCTCTCTCTCTCTCTCTCTCTCTCTCTCTCTCTCTCTCTCTCTCTCTCTCTCTCTCTCTCTCTCTCTCTCTCTCTCTCTCTCTCTCTATCTCATGTTCACCCGCCATGAAGCCCACGAGGCGGGTGAACATGCTGATGGGCGCATCTTCCTTGCAGATGAATAACATGGCGCGGAGTAGCCGAATGATGCGCGCTCCCTCGGGGTCATTCGCAACAAAGTCTTCCATCCTCTCCTGGTTCTCCACTTCTGTCAGCAGGTGTTGTTGCTTCCTCACCGCGTCTTCATGCTTCTGACTCTCCTGGTGCCAGCGCATCGAGCCAACTTGCAGATCCCGACCGCCACTGCCCTCACGCCCGTATCTTGCATGCACTGCACCATGCTCCATGCAAACACAACAACGCAAGCACGTGATTCCGTCGTCATTTTTATCAAGGACCAGCCATGGGAATTTCGGGAGACAATCATTGGTGTACTTATGTTGCGCCTTTTCGTATGCCCTCGCCCTCTTCTCCGCAACTGTCGGTTTCACTGACGGTGCAGTGACACGCTCCGGCGGTGGCGGAGTGGGGGGCTTAGGAGGAGGCGGTGCAAATGGCAGGTGTGATTGCTCATAGCGGCGCCTCTTCTTCGATGTCACGGCGGCCGATATAGTCGTGGCTGGAGGAGTAGCAGCAGGGGTTGACGTGGCGAGAGGAGTAGCAGCACGGGTTGACGTGGCGGGAGGAGTAGCAGCACGGGTTGACGTGGCGGGAGGAGTAGCAGCAAGGGGTGACGTGGCTGGAGGAGTAGCGGCAGGCGTTGATGTGGCGGGACGAGTGGCAACTGGGGTTGTCGTGGCGGGACGAGTGGCAGGCGGGGCCTTGGATGGCGAGTCAACCAGCTCAGTCACCTCGTCCTGTTTGTGCTCCCACTCTTCACTGCTGAGAGATGGGAGGGGGTTCGAGTACACATGAGCGGCATGTGCACGACGAAGGAAATCGAGGCCTCTGAGGGGAGCGACCCTAACAAAACGCTCAGCGCTGTGGTCGTCCTCCCCCCCATCATCCTCGTCATCAGAATTACACATCACGGGCTCTGGTGGGAAAGTGGCTGCAAATAGGACTACCTCAGGGAAGACTGATACGCTCTGGCAGTTGTGAGAGGGGTACTCTCTCTTGCGTGGAGCAAGAGAGAGTTGGAGGGGAACTCGGTTTCCTGCAGCAAGCAGCGGAATGGATGGAACGAAGGGAGGGACAAGCTGGTCTTGAGGTGATCAACAATGCGCTACGAGCTGTATGGTCCACGGGTGAGTAGCATCATTGCTACCCGCAGCCTAGCGTGCTGTCGATGTGCCGGCTGCTGTACCAAGCGAGGAAATGCCTAAGGCATGCAGCAATCATCCAGCGGTGGCAACTTCAGCTGCCGCACGCGGTTGTGCTGCTGATGCCACCAGGGCCCTTTTTATCAGACGAAAACGGTCTGATGGTCTGATTTTCAGACGTGTTTTTTTAGGTTCATCTGAAAGTTTAGACCACCCTGAATTTTTCATCTGAATGATAAGATAAGGTTTTTATTTTCGTCTGAATAATCAGACCCTAAGTTGTATTTCGTCTGAGTCTACAGACAACACATTTTTTTCCGTCTGAGACTGACAAGTTTTCCCACTAGTCTAGAAGGCCACTTCCTTTCACGATTCGGCACCAATTTCAAATCTGCGTGATCATTGCACCGCGTGGTACACCAGCCCCGCTGGCGTGCATCATCCCCCCACAGTGCATTTTCTTAGTCAGAAGCTGCCACGCTTCTGTCTCATAGCTGTCTGTTGGTGCACTTGACAGCTACCGTGGAAACAGTGGCATGCAGCAGGCCAGCGGGACTGCTGTCCCTTAGCGTGCTGTCGGTGCAACTGACTGCCAGCACGCCCACATTACGAACCAAAATCCTGCCAGCACATTTTGTGCCCAGCAGGAAAGAGTTCATTGGCTGGCGACGCGCAACGATGGACGGCTCCCCAACCATGCATCGTTCCTCTCTCTTACTGTGCGACGCGTCACTTGCTCATCAAGAGCCTGGAGTTTCGCTTAGTCTAGGTTATTTTTGCCTCCATTCACCGTCTCCCGTGCTTGCATCAGCCTTCACTATGAGCTCCCCTCTGAGCTCCTCCTAGTTTCCACCTCTTCGACTGTTGTTACTGCCCCCACTAGTTGCCATCATGGCATCAGATAGTGCAGGCTCTAGTGCCTCGACCGAGAAGACTGCTGTGCCCTCACCCCCCACTACAGCTTCCGTGAAGCTCAGGGGCTTGGATTTCTTAGGATGTCGCCCCACCCAGCCACCCGCAGCAGTCCCCATTTCCCCCCTGCCTGCTGCCCCTGTACCGGACGTACCTGAGCCTAACAGCAATCCGTTCGACAGTCTGATGCCTGCAGTAGAAATCGAGCCATGGGCTGCGAGCCTGCCACCGATTGCTTCCCCAGCGGCATCGCCGCCACGTGCGCAATCCCGTCCGACTGTGGTTGGCACTGCGTCCGCCACGATTCAGATCTCTGGCGGTCCTGTTCTGTCCGTTCGCTATCCATGCAACACGAAGTATAAGCAACGGAAGCTTTCATTCGGTCGTCCCCGCTCACCAGTGGCTTCTGCTGCTATCTCCTGTGACCCAGGGCCGAGCACGCCTGAAGCTGCCACCGGCCCCTCTGACCCTGGTCCGAGCACGCCTGGATCTGCCGCTGGCCCCTCCAACCATGGTCCAAGCACGCCTGCTGTCAACGAAGGACCATGGCCTTTGACGCTAGAAGAATTGCAGCTGAAGTGCAAGGAACAATGGCAGCGGCACTTCCCCTGGCTCTTCATTTCCGAGACGTCAGAAGGTCGCCCGTGCATGAAATGCAGTGTTTGCATGGCTTATGGAGACCCGAACTACCTGTACGACCGTTACGGTGAGGGTGGTATCGACATCCAGAAACAAACGATGAGGAAGCATGACCACATCGGCAAGCACGAAGCGGCAATGGCAGCAAAGGCGCATCGGGATGGCAAAATGAAGAAGCAGAAGTCCATCACTGAGTTCGAGAATGGGGATGATGACGCACGGCGGCTGAAGCGTTTGATGGCTATTGGGCAATTCATCTGCAAGTCTGACGCACCTATCATTCTTTTTGTCTCACTTGTACAGTTCATGGCCCAGCAGGGGACGCCAGACATGCCCTTGAAGGAGAACGGCACCTACTACTCAGAGTGAGTTTCTTTTTGAAGCCTTTGTTTATGCACAATATTTGTCGCCCATGTTTGGTGTGTGCACTCTCTAATGCTATGCTGTTGGCTTTTGGCAGGTACGGATTCCAACAGATGGTTGAGACCATGGTTGGGTACTTGAAGGCGAAGCAGCTCAAACACATTCGAGCAAGTCCCTTCCTTGGCATTCAACTCGATGAGAGCACCGATCAAAGGCGTGGGAAGCACATGATGGTGTATCTCACGTTTCTGCGGGACGACGAAGTGGTGACGGAATTCTATGCCCACCTCACTGTAGAGAAGTGCGATGCCACTTCCCTACAGGCCATCCTACTCACGCATCTTGAAGCCACCAGCATCGACCTGCAACGAATCTGCGGGATAAGCACTGACTGTGCTAGCGTGATGACCGGTGGGCAGACGGGTGTGGTTGCACGTCTGCGGGCACGCATACCTCACCTTGTGTCATGCCACTGCATCGCCCACAGGTGAGTGTTGTGTGAAGTCCTTGTCATGGACATTGATTACGAAACCCGTATACTAATACCTCCTCTTAATGCTGCAGGGAGGCACTTGCCGCAAAGGACACTGCAACGGCTTTCCCCGATCTTGTCATTTTTGACAAAGTAGTACGCTCGCTTGCTGAAGTTCTAGGCCGCTCGATTGTGGTGCACACTCGCTTCAAGCAGCTGCAAGATGTCGTCAGCGACACCAACCTTGAATTGCAGGGCATACATAATATCAGGTGGTTGTCGAGAGGTGAGGCGATTGCGAGGTTAGCAGAGGTTTTTCCTTCTGCCATCATCCTGCTCTCTGAGTACGATCGTAAGGCTTACCACATGCTGACAAGTCTGAAATTCCAGTTCTTACTGTGTTTCCTTGCTGATGTGCTGAAGGAGCTTAATACCCTCAACCTGAATTTCCAACGTCGACAGGTAAAAGTGACTACCTAGCTTTGCTACCTATTTTCATTTCTAACTTGCTTTCTTGTTTACCGGTCATCCCCGAATTTTGCAGGTGGATGTCACGCATGTGCTGCAGATGGTCGATAATACCATTCTCACCCTCCGGAGCCGCTATGTCAACTTCGGCGACACCTTCGGCCACGGCAACGACAACCTTGTCGCCTTCATCGCGAAGTTTACCGATCCCAAGTCTCGGTGGGTTCACGTGGAGGGTGTCAATGCCGAAGGCACACCCACCACGCACTCCTACGTCTTGCACCAGAAGTACATTCCCCGCCAAGTCAGCGGCGGGGAAGCTGCAGAAACCCCGAACTCCTCCTCTG